AAACTATTCAGGAGACGTACAAGGGGAGATGAATGCAGAAGTTTTGACAGAAAATTTTCTAAACGGAAACGTATTACGTAATGGTACAAAACGGAATATAGGAATCTTGGAATAAGTCTCGATGTTCGGACTAAGCCACAGCACAAAACTTCAAATTTTAGTTTTATTTGGTTTTTGCATATCGCACGAGTTGTACATGAAAGTAGTAAAAAAACCAAAAAGTTATTATTATTATTATTATTATTATAAATTTAGCCAGAGAATAAATTCTAAGACTAAAGTCTTAAAGCACTAGCATCTAGGGCTATCGGCTTTTTATTAAAAATTCTACCGCACTTGAGGTTTGAACCCACGACTATTGAGTTACTAGTCGAGACTCTTGCCTACTCGGCCACTCAGGCGGATTAAGACGATATGTACATATTATATGAGATATACAAACTTTATTGAAACCCTCTCCTCGGGTATTTTAACTTAACCATATATATATAGTTAGTTGTTTAGACTTATTATGAAATCATATTTTATTAAATTTTTTATTTTAAACATGTTTTTGCCAAATAAATTTATCAAAAATAAAAATTATTATTTATTTATTTATTTATTCCACTTATACTAGAAACTCAACTAAAACAAAATGGCAGTCGAGTTCAATTGGCACTTAAAGCAAAATTTATATTAAATTAATAATCCCTAAGCCATCGCAAACATGCATACGCTTAGTAAACCAAAATAGTTAACAACAATTAATTTTCAACTCATAATGACTTTTTATAAAGAATCGGTTAGGGACATTAAAGCCTATCTCACGAAGTAATAAGGGCGAGTCAATAGCACCATTTATTACGTTGATTACGAAGGAAACCCCAAGAACAAATCTACGTTTCTCAAGAGACGGTAAGGATAACAGAAGCAACCTATTTTCATTTTATGTAAAATATGAAGAAAATGTGCAAGATTATATATTATATAGTGCGACTATTAAGATAATCATTATTCACGATCTTTCATTCAAGATATTAAACGAATTTCATACATAATGTAGTGAGATTTCATTTTTGCCATTCATATTTATAGCAACTCTGTACTCTTTTCATATGTGATACTTTTTTTACATACCCTGAAAAGAAAAAAACCAGATAACGGCATGATCAATCGCAATCATTTCGAAAGTGTTGAAGCTAACCGTCACTTCTTAAAACCAAAAATTTGTGATTTGATTATTCTACTTATTAAAACCAAAAATTTGTGATTTGATTACTTTGTGTGCATCAAAATAATATCATAGTTTTGACTGTAAGTAAATTTTTCAATATTACATATATTTTATTTATTGCCGAGGAGACACACAGATTCGCATAGTTTTCCTTGTAATCTTGTTGTGGTCTCCTTGATATTTTTTTGGGAATATAACAACAGCAACAAGTATATACAAATATGGCGACGCACTTGTACATACTTGTTGTTGTTGTCATATTAGCCATTTTTATCTTATATAATGAAATCATTTTTCCTGCTAATTGAGAAGAATTTAACACTGGATTCGGAAACATTACAAAGAGGGTATTTGACTTATTGCCGAGTGTGTACCATTTATTTGCCACACAAAGTTACAAACCATTACATTTTTCAAAAGAAAATGTACTATCTGCCCAAAGCAATATTAATTCTAAAACGAATTAATTTTTTCATCTCAATACGCTTGGAGAGTAGAAGCTAATTGTTCTAATTCCAAGTAATTATAGTCGACTTCATAGATAAAATTCCCTGACGTTTACGAGAAATCGGTTTCTGGGATATTATAATATCAAGTGCCCAAGATTATGGGTAGTCAGTAGAAAGCCAAGGAAGCAGAATATTTCTGATGTTTCATTTTCAACGCTAATTTGAGTTCAAAAATTGCTGATGTTTCTGTCCGCTGCTACTATGCCATATTGCATGAATTTCTTAAACCATTTATACGCATTCAACTGAAATAAAGGACCTCTACTGCCACCCTTTCTGATATAAGGACCTTTAAAAATTAGGAATCGAAGAATTGGATTGATTATTGTCATCAGAAAACTTCACTGCCTTTTCCCAAATACACTTCACAAAATCATGTGCCCAATAGTCAAATATAAAAAAGGCAAAATGTAGATTCACGCTTATGAATACATATATATACATATATGTAATACTTATTTATTTATTTATTAGTTTACATATAAAAAATCATATTATGGAAATTTTTTTAAGTGCATATGCTAAAAGTAATTCGTATAATTATTGTATTTTCCATCAACGAGCAGAATAGTTTTCTGCACATAACGGTCACATTTCATTTTTCTTTGTTCTTAATACTGATCGGGAAAAAGCAATGGCTGATAAGAGAACAACACACACACACATAATTTACGAGTGCATACAAGTACGGCGTCAATATGAGAAAACCAGCTAACGGCTTTTAGCGAGAAAACAAAAGCATTTCACAAGTGCACGATGAAGTTTTGGAAATATACATATATATACATATACATATCGTATAAAGAATACATATGTATCGTATAAAGAATACATATTTTGGTAGAGGACAGATTCTAATCAACTTTATTCAAAATTTAAGCAAAATTTAATCAAATGTCATGTGTGTCCTATTTAAAGTTTATTTCATCCATTTGTAAGTAAGTCATTAGAGGAAGATCACAACCAAAACAGGCTCATCAATTTTGTAGGTGCAGCTTACATATATACGTCTGATTTCACAAAAAAATAGCGGCATATAACAACAAGTGTATACAAGCACACTTGTTCATTTTTGTTGTTGGATTAGCCATTTCTTTTTTAAATTATGCGGAAAGCTTTTCTGCTCGTGGTTGCTACGTGTAATTTCCAAGAATAGTTTCGTTCTTCTTCTTGTTCTTTACTTCTTTCGCATGCTTGCCGAAAACTCGTGATATATTTGTCTGACACTTACAAAAAAAAGACAGCTAATGGCAGCGTATTTCCAACGCTTCGAGAAATTTCTTAAAATTTCTGATCAGTTTTTTGCTTAAGTCTTTTCTGTTTGCTTTTCTCGCAATAATGGAAAAAGCTATTTAACTGAACGAACAAGGAAATCAACAGTTTGTAAAAGTTGATCCCATTGTATGCTAACAATATGAACGGGTTAAAAATAGACGTTTCCAAATTGCGAAGCGCACGAATTTCGTTCCGTATGCTATCGCTACCCAAGGCATAATATATAAATGTATATAAATCTGAATATGTCCTGAAAAGAGTAAAAGAAAAAAAAGGAAAATCAGAACACTTTAACAGATAACTTTAAAGCATTTTTATAATCTTTATAATCGAATTATTGAAAATAGTATAAATTCGTAACGGACGTTAACAAAATTTCAAAAGACGTATTTTATATACTTCTGGGTTTTATTGGCGTAAAAAGTAGACAAAGTGTATATAAGGATGAGCAAAAAATCTTTTTTGGTTTTTGGACACAGAGTTGTTCTGAGTTATTATGCTATACTGCGAGCGTATCCTTCGACGGATTTGGGTCATTTCCATTTCATTTTCTAACTAGACGCTGGTCATATGACTTGTATTTTCCTCATCGTTTAGCTGTATATCAAATTGTGGTTAACGGGAGAAATAAAATTCCCTTTTTGTTTAGGCATCTTAACAGATGCCGCCCTTGTTGTTTAGGCATTTTAACAGGTGTCGCTTATAAATCAATTTAACTAACACAATGCAAACCAAGTTTTAAACTTAGTATACCTTAAAGTATGGGAAGATTGCAAAACCAACCAAGTATTAATATGAATTTTGAGAATTTTT